TGTTCTGGTTTGCAGTAGAAAGCAGAAGGGGGAGCAATGGGTGTAAGTTTCAAAGAGGCATATTTAAGCTAGGTATCAGGAAAAATCTTCCTAATAATTCATTGGGGATGTACAAAAATGGATTGAGCTGCATCAGGAGGTGGTGAGCCCTCCTTCCCTGGGGTTCTTCAAACAAGTTGAGGGGATGCTCATTCAGGTATGAGTTAGACTAGATAGTATTCAAGGGCCCTTCCGACTCGGGGATTCTGTGATTATGCCCTGTCAACCTTCTTCTTGCCCACTTCCTGTTTTTAGGAAAATGCTGCAAACCTCTGCTTTGCCTCTTTTTAGCTCAGAGCTAGAACTACCCGATGCTGGAGAAACAAAAACAAATGAAAATAATGGGATCCTATAGGAACAAGCCCATCTCCTTTCTGCTGCCATCCCCCGCCCTCACCTCCCACACATACCTAGGTGCTGCCGCTTCCTGGAACCAATATTTCTTTCTAGGGCTGCCAAGTAAATCTGCTTCATTTCTTCTGGTAATCATCATCACTAGCATTTATATAGTGCTTCAAGGCTTGCAAAGTACTTTTACAAATGTTATCTCACTTTATGCTCTCAACAACCCTGGGAGGTAGGTGCTATTATTAACCCATTTGACAGATAAGGAAACTGAGGGTCCACAGGGTTCCATAGCTAATAAGTGTCTGAGGCCAGATTAGAACTCAAGTTTTCCTGATACCAGGTCCAATGCTCTAGCCAGCATACCAACCAGCTGCCTTCCTGTAAGCAGGCTGAGAAAATCTGTGAATGACCACCGACCTCTTAGATTCCCAAAGTCATCTCCGTGCAATAAGATTGCTTGTTGAGACCTTGTACCGACAGACTCACAGCGGGTTCTAAGGTGCCACATCTACACTAGGGAAATTATTAGAGAGAAGTATGGAAGTAAGAGATAGAAATGGATGGGATAAGGAATTTGTGCTCCTTGGGTAGTGTTTGAACAAAGAAACCCCTTTGTGTTGCTGTTCCCCAGAGGCTTTAAGCCTTCCCAGTAATGCCTTCAACTCAACATCACACCCACACCCACACCCACACAAGTACATATACACATACGTATAGACATGTAATATATATCTTTGTTCATGTATTTTATACTATAGGAATTGCCTGAATTGCTTCCCCCAACTCCTGGCTTTGCTAAGGGGATATTTAAATCTGGATTGTCTGATACTTTTGTCACCCTGGAAACCACAGTCTGAAGGGAGTGGAAAAGAGAAATGATCAGGCTCCTCCCCAGTGATCCAGATGACCTCTGGTTCTGTCTCCAATCCTGTATGGACTATACGGATCATTTGAAATGAAATACTTTTTTGGCTCGAAGTAACAACAGCATTTCCATGAGCCTTTCTCCTCTTAGGCAAGCCAAAGGCTTCATATGATTGGATCATACATTTTGGATAAGCCTACCTATGCTCCCTATCTTCTCTCAATGACTCAGGAAATGTAATATGTAATTTTATAATTATAACTGATAAAATTTATAATGTAATAATAACCATGTAAATAGTAATTGTTTCTCTTTTGGCCAGAAACCCTGAGAGTCTTCCCCTCCCAGTTTGATTTTTTTTTTTAAATTAAAGGGGCCATCCCTTGGCTCACTTCTTAAGCAGCCCTAATCAGCAAATGGGCATTGCCTCAGTCAAAATGAGACTGCTAAAGACCTTAGCTTAAAAAGGCCAAGGTCCCCTACTGAATCCTGGGCCATCTCCAGTCATCGTGATGGATGGCCACTAGAACCAGATGGCTCCGGAGGAGAAAGTGAGGCTGGTGACTTTGCACAGCCCTCCCTCATTTAATTCCAATTTACTTGCAAGTCATGGCATGATCTTCCTGTTGTCATGGTCTTCTTTGAGAACAAACACACACAAGAACAAACCACAACCTGTAACCATTATGCAGGGGTATGCTGATAAATGTTTAGCAGCTAGCTCTCTGGGAGGGAAAAAGTACACGGGACACATTTTAAAGTTTAATTTGTGTTATTGATATTTTCTCTATCACTTTCCTAAGTCTAGACAGTTAACAAAGCAATAAACTAAGCTGTGATTTATAGTGATTGCTGATTTAAGAAAGTGTAAATGTTCACACTGAAAATTTAACAATGGAGGCAGCTGGGTTCAAGATGGCTCCAGTACCTTTGCCCTTATATCAGAGATGCCCACAGAATAAAGGGCCTATGGGATTTGAAGTTTGAGGGTGGGGGGAAGGGTGGAAATAATAATTACCTTTGTCTGGGCTCCTCCTTAAGAACTTGGGGAAAATTTACTCCTCCACTTGCAAGTATGCTGGCCACGATCCATTCATCCATCCATCCATCCATCCACCCATCCATCCATCCATCTATCCACCCATCCATCATCTATCTATCTATCTATCTATCTATCTATCTATCTATCTATCTATCTATCTATGTTTTATTAAGAGGACTATTATATATGTATATGTGTTTTATTAACAAGGAATAATGTTTTTGTAAAGAAAGAATAATCAAAATGTTATGTACTCTCCAAGTGAATTATAATACTCAAATGTATCTATGATCTTGTAAATTTGGTTATTTTCTCCCGAGGTACAAATCACAACTCATCTACACCTGCCCATACTTTGTGACCTTTGTTCCCTAAGTGTACCACAGGAGGGCCACCTAACCTGTTGGAGGCTTGCCTTTCTCTATGTCTTCTGACATTGGGAGAATTACAGTACAACTTTCTGTCAGTCTACCTCTCTCACATGTAACCTGCCCATTTTCTCCTCCTATTGTATTCCTCGATGACATCTTTTCCTCCATTCTTTGAATTTATTTTATTTCTTTAAATTTCAATTATATGTTTGAGGCTGCTCAAAGACTTGTGAGTATCTAGAGGATGGAGTGCTGGACTTGGAATCAGAAAAACTAGAATCTAAATCTTTCTTCTTTCACTTACTAAAGCAGTGATCACGGGCAGTTCCCTAACCTAGCTCCCCAGTTTCCTCATCTGTAAAATGAAGGGATTGAACAAGATGGACTCTAAGGTCCCTTCTAGCTCTAAATATATAACAATCTTATGAATTATATTGTCCTAAATTATCCTAAAAGCCCACACTGAATACTCCCTAGAGTTTCTGTCCCAATCCCAGGATGAGAGCTTTGGCAGTTAGGGGACTCATGCTTCTCTGTAGGTCTCCTTGGTGCTGCCAGTAGACATGAGCTAAAACAATTTCTTTCCTGAAATTAGGAAGGTCCTGAATTCAAATGTGACCTCAACCTCTTACTACCTGTGTGGCCCTGGGCAAGTCACTTAATCACTATTTGCCTCGGTTTCCTCAACTGTAAAATAGGGATAATAACAGCACCTTCCTCCAAAAGTTGTTGTGAGGATCAAATGAGATATTTGTAAAGCATTTACACAGTGCCTGGCCCATAGCAGGTGCTATCTAAATCCTTATTCCTTTCCACCTTCCCTTCCCTGGTTTGGCTATGATTACAGCTCTTATGGGTTTGGAGATTTGATTGCTAAGTTTTCAGTGTGAGTATTTACAGCATTTGTAACAAACACTACAAATAAGTACTTAATTAATTGTTTTGTAGATTGTGTAGATTTTATTTTTCAAAGAGCCAATTTGCAGCATTTGTAACAAATATGACACATAAGGACTTGATTCATTGTTTTGTAGATTATGTAGACTTAATTTTTCAAAGAGCCTTCTCCGTAAGACATTTCTAGTTGTTTCTATCACCAGTCTTGAAGACTTGAAGACAGAAGATGAGCATATTCTAATTCTATAATCCTATTCATAAAACTGTGTGATCCTATGAATTTTACTGTCTCAGTATCTAACACTGAATACTCCCCAGAGTTCCTGTCCCAGTCCCAGTCCCAGTATGAGAACTGTGGTCATTGAAACCAGCCCACAAGTCACATTCTTCCAGGGTCAACACACCACTACCGTGTGAACTTAAACCTCATCACCTCCTCGTTGGCAGTGCTGCTTTTTTTTTGTGAAGACTGGCTTGTCTGATTGTAGCAGTCAATCCCAGAATTTATTGATATATCTGTGGATTTTAAAATGCAAAGGATTTTGCGGTTAATGCCAATGAGCAGTGACCTCCTCAGCTCCCTCATTTCAACCTTCAGAAATGGATACAACAACTGGGGAACTCTGAGCTTTCAAAAGGCTGGTCCTGTACACAGACAGCCTTAATTCTGAATGGATGGTACTCAAGAAAGAAGGGGCAGGCCAATGCTGATTGGCATGGAGCCTCTCAGGAAGGGGGCCTTCTGCTGATGCATGATGGCTAGAGTCTGTTTTCCTGGCTCACTCATCCTACTCCCCTCTGTCCTCCCACCTTGTTCTTCCTCAGAGTTGACAAACATTTGCCTTCCAGACTTTTCCAAGAAAAATTTCCAAGAAAATCCTTCCTCTGGTTGTCAGGCTCCATGGCCCTGATAAGCCAGCCAACTGTTCATTTCCTAGCCAAGAAATCAGCTTTGAAACTAAACTCCTCAGAGCCCTAATCAAGGACAGTTTGGCCTTTAAGGTTGGTCAGTATGGTCAGAAGGGTAAAAAGAAGGAAAGTCAATATTAAAGTCAGGCCTAAAAGAAACATGAACATGCTTGTGAATTTCTTTAAGTTAATTTTATTGATCAATTTAACTTTGGGTGTAGGACTCTTAATGGCTCCTACTGCCATAGATAAATGCTTATGTTTTCTTCAGCCCAGTGATATGGGGAGAAAGTTGATGAGGAAACCTAAGCAGCAGCATGAAAGAAAGAGAGGGAGAGACAGAGAGAGAGCCAGAGACAGAGACAGACAGAGAGAGTAAGGAGGGGGAGGAGGAGAAGAGTCAGAGAGATCACTGCAATGAGGAAAAGTTCCTAAAAGTAAGCTGCTGTTGTGGATACAGCCAGTGGGCAGAGCAGTAGACTCGTTACTGCTATTCACACTTGTTTTCTTTCCTCCTTGTGGTTTCCAGATCAAAGACCATGTGGATGTGCTGTTTTCCAATCTCATCCAAGAAGAAGTCAAAAGAAAAAGCATAGTAACCTTGTTAGAAGGTAACTGGAACTCTCAAAGGGCATGTGATGCCATTGTGAAGGAAGGGAAAGCTGAGGGACAGAGGACAAATTGATTGAAAGAATTAGAAGTATCACCATCTTGGTCTTCACTTTTCCTCCTAATTTCCTAGTGTCAAGTTCCCCTGTTTCCCCACCCAGAAAAGGCACTCTGGCTTTGTTATTGTTCCTGTTCCCTATAATCTGATCAGCAACCTGTCCTTTTCTTTTTTCTACTTTTGGGAAGACCAGACTCCATGGTCATGAAGAGCTCTGACCAAAACAATATGATGACAGATCCTTTCCTCTTAAAGAAGGGAAGCCCTCAAGCTTAAGGTGGGGGCTGGGCTTCGGAGGGGATTCATCTACATGTAGTCCTTGAATAGAAGGGGAAAAAAATTAAGCAAGGGCCACTGTGTCCTCTATGTCCACCTAAGCCTGTTGATGGACTAAGGATCAATGGGATTTTGATGTGGAAAACAATTAGTGTGAAAGTAGTCCTTTAAAAAGAAAACCCAACCTATTGATTGAGTGGTGAATGTGATGTTTTTGTAGAAAAAGAAGAGAAAATGAGTTCAATTTTAGCTTCCCTTCCTGCTCATTTCCAGCAATTACAGGAATCCCTCATTTTATATCAACTTGTTACATAAAATTATTTTGTAGAATTTTGAATTTATAGAAATCATAAAGTAAGGAACTAATTGATTGTGTGTAATTTGAGGGGTCAAGCTTGAGGTATTTTTAGTCTACCACATCATACGTTAGGTAATATAACCTGTTGGTAAAACAAGGTTTGGGAGCCCAGCCATATTTGATTCTGGTCTTACTCGAGAGGACAAAATCTCTGTGGTCTAAGGGAAAATTGAAGCATAGATGCAGTTACCATGGGGCTGAATGGTAGGGAAGTGATGGAAGAGGAGAAATCCTTGAGTAGGGAAAAAGCTGCCAAACCCTCCTGATAGGCACAGAATTGCTATTGGGTGGCATATCTCCATCTCACCTCCCCTAAAATTTTCAATTCATTCTATTTGAAGAGTCTTTTCTTGTGGGAACAGATTTCAGAGTTTACAAAAGGAGCCAATGGAAATCTAGGATTCGCTTTGCAGTCAGTTTGGCTGCAACACATCTGTTCTGTAAGGCAAGATACAGATGTTGTGGCCATCTTTGATCTTAATTCTCCCCTTGGACATCAGGAGAATGCAAACATGTGACCTCATTGTACATTCTCCAAGATACTGTGCGCTCTGTCCCGGAACGTCACAACTGTCTCTTGGCATTATTTTCTTAGCCATGCAGCATTCAAGGGAATTCCCTTGCTCATTCTTGGAGTAGGAGCGTACTACTCCAAATTACCACAACTGCTCAGGGCTAGGACCCAAAGCAGGAATGTACAGCCTAGGATATAGGTCTGGGTGGCACTATCATGTGCATTGCCTGGGCATGCCAGTTCATCCAAGCTTGGGACATCCTCCAATGCAGGGTTATGCAGGTTGGTACCACGCCTCCTCAAAAGTCAAAGAACAAGAGAAAACCACTTTATAATGATGGCCAATCTCTACTCAAGAATAGATTCAACTAAATCTAAGATGACCTTAGGATCATAGATTTACAATTATAAGTGAACTTAGTGGCACAGTGGAGAGCTAACTAGTTCTAGAGTCAGAGGACATGAGTTCAAATCTCAACTCTGATGCTTCTTACCTGGATGGCCTTGGGCAAGTCATTTAACTTCTCTGAGCTTCAGTTTCCTCATCTATAAAATGAGAGGGTTGGGTTAGATGGACTTCGTGGTTTCTTTCAACTCCATATCTGTTATTCTTAGAGGCTATCTAGTTCAATGTCATCATTATTGTTGTTGCCGAGTCATTTCAGGTGTGTCTGACTTTTCATGACCTCATTTAGAGTTTTCTTGGCAGAGATACTGGAGTGGTTTTCCATTTCCTTCTCCAGCTCACTTTACAGATGAGGAAACTGAGGCAAACAGGGTTAAGTGCCTTGCTCCAGGGTAAGTGTCTGAGGCCAGATTTGAACTCATGAAAATGAGTCTTCCTGGCTCCAGACCCAGTACTCCATCCACCACTGCGCCACCTAGCTGCCTCAGTAAATTCAAGAGAGAGTGAGGAATCCAAAGAGAGGCAGACTTAGTTGCCTTGGCTCAGAGGTACCACACAGAGGAGGTGGAAATGGGGCTGGGTCAGAATCTAGCTAGGCTAAAAGCTAATACCAGCACATTCTAGGGACAGATGCTTGTTTTTTCTGTATGCAGGGAGCTGAATGTTGTCATTATCACAGAGAAGGGCTCTGACCAGGTAGACCAGGAGAGTTGTCCTGGGACAAGGCAAAACCAGCCTGAAGGGGCCACTTTTGCAGAAGATCAACTGGGGACCTCCTACAAAGAATTAAAATCTGAGAAAAAGAAAGCAGTTGAAATGGGGAAATGTCTCTATTTGTGGCCTGGGGAAAACCCAGCTCAATATATAGACTTGAATTTACATAGTTGACAAAGTAGGAAACTAATCCTCTGTCTGTGATTTCAGGTCAAGCTTAAGATAATTGTGAGCTGCTGCAAAACATTAGATAGCAGCACATATTGGTAAATAGCCTAGCTCTAGTAGACTGTAAATACCCAGAACAAAAAATGTTAGACCAGAATTTGACAAGCTCTTGTACATGTGGATTCAAGGGGTGGGTAAAAGACTACTCAGATGCTTTTAGGGAAATCAAGAGTGCTCGATATCAAGACACGACCTACACCTTTGTCAAGATGACTCTGATTTGCTCATATCTGGTCATGCTAGGATGACCAGCCCTTCAATCAAAGAACAAAAATATATCAAGCCAGTCTCCCCTTTGAGAATTCACAAAGTCAGTAAGTCAAATTCAGTATGCTTACCTGATATACATCCTCTATAAGCACAGTCAAGGGGCCTAGAAGGAAGAGCCAAGAGCTTCTGGAAGAAGAATATCTCAGAAACACCCAAAGATAAGAGGGATGGCCATCTTTAAGGCAGAACAGTAGACACAGCCATCTAATGCACTCTGTGCAGAAGTGGGAAAAATAAAAATACTAGGGAGGCCCTCACTAAGGGCCATTTTGCATGGCTTTAAGGAAGTTTGAAAACTTTTAAGTTTCAACTTCAGGTTCTGATAAAAAAAAGTAGAGGCCCATTCATAAAACATGTCTATTCATTTAAAAACAATTTCAGGTCTACTACCCTCCTACCTGAATCCCTGCGCACTTTTCCTGACCATTCCAGTGGGCGTATTCTGGAACATTATGGTCCATGAGCATTGTTCAAATACACTAATAGTATAAAACATTTTTAAAGGCTACTTGGGCTTTCCTTTTGTGTTTTAGTCAAAAACTATGTTTTGGTCAGGAGCCAGACTAAAGAAGACCTTCACATTAACCAAAAGATCAAACATGCATTTGACAAACATTTTTTTTGTGTGTAGATCATTTTTCTCCACCACATGACAAATGCTCAGTAAATGCTTATTGACTTCCTTCATTCATTAATACTCTACTGCCTGCAGTTTGTAGAATAGCAACATGGTGTATGTAGTACAGCAGTTTTCAAAGTGTAATCCAGATACACCTGTGGGTCCCCAGTACCTTTTGGGGGAGTATATGAGATCAACTTATTTTTATTAGAATAAGATGTTTTAATTTGAAATATGGAAAATATCTTTACATATTAGCTCTTTGAGGCCCTCAATAATTTTTGAGGTGTAAAGGGGCCATGAGAACAAAAATTTTGAGAATCACTGTGCAGTGGATAATGGGTTAGCCTTGGAGTTAGAAAGACCTAAAATCAAACTCTGCCCCTGGCACTTAAAAGCTGTATGCTCCTGGGTAGGTCATTCAACCTCTTAGTGCTTTGCCCCCTCCCCCCTCAACCCCTCCTATAACTCTCTTAAGACTGTAAATTACAGACCTTGGAGAGTTCCCATAATTCAAGGTACTATTATTGGCTTAGTAACATTTTGGACTCTATTTTTGTCATTCGATAGCCTTAACTGCCTTGGAAAGCACTTCTCCAAGTACAAATGTGCCCTGCTTTAAGCTAAACCAATAACTGAAAATCCAAATTTAAGAAAAAAAACTACTATAAATTCAGGGGCCTGTATTTACTCTGCAAAATAATGTGGCTAAGAATTCCTTTAAATAGAAATGTCTCCTGGAACAGTTATGATATGATTCAATTTTCAAATATTTTATTTACTTGAAACTTTGCCTGCATACTGAAGAGGTTGGTGGTGGTGTGTGGTATACGCGATGTGTTTTAAGAGGTAAGAATCTTGGCCTATATTTTGAAATTCCTTGGGTGGCAAAAAGTTTCCAGGCCAAATCATGAAGATGAATCAGTTCACCAGAGATCGTTTTTCATCCAGGGTCTAGAAGTGAGGTCTCTACGAGAAAGATCTTGCTGAAGTTGCTTTTGCAACTTCTCTTGGTACCTACCTGGATTTTCCAGGTGGTGATTGAGGTGGAAGTCAGAGTTGTTCATTTCCTGTGTGAAGAGAGGCCTGCTAAAGAGGATGCTTCCTTGGTGCATCTTTCTTTTCTTTTCTTTTCTTTTCTTTTCTTTTCTTTTCTTTTCTTTTCTTTTCTTTTCTTTTCTTTTCTTTTCTTTTCTTTTCTTTTCTTTTCTTTCCTTTCCTTTTTTTTTTTTTGGCTAGGCAATGGGATTAAGTGACTTGCCCAGGGTCACACAGCTAGAAGTGTTATGTGTCTGAGGCTGGATTTGAACTCACATCCTCCTGACTCCAAGGCTAGTGCTGTATCCACTGCTCCACCTAGCAGCCCCTTGGTGCATCTTTCAAACCAAAGGTGGGGGGCATATACACATCTGGCTTCATAAACTAATGCCCAGTGACCTATTCCCAGAGCTGGAGGGTCATCAAACTTTTCCACAGCAAGTGAGCAGCTCTCTCCTCATACCTTCACAAGTTTTCTCTCTACCCTACTCCCCCCACCCTTTTTTTTTCCTTCAGTGCTATCAACTCTTTCCAGTAGCCACCAGAAGGGGAAATGAGAATGGGAAAAGGTACAAACCTTTTGAAAGAGAAGAAACCATCAAATTCCTAGGGAGATATTTTTAAAAGTCAGATTATATATCAAAAATAGTTACTCAAAGCAAATAAAGAGGGATGTTATCCTTGATTCAATTGGTTGTTCATTTCAAGAGCCATAAAGAAAAGAAGATGCAGGTCTGTGAGCTAGACATTTTGAATAAGGATATGACCTTCACAACCAACCTATAAGCTGTGTCTAGTACAGTTTACTGTTTCAAAAAATAGGGGTTTTTTTATCCCTAAAAAGTGAGTATACCCAAGACAATCATGGGAATCTAAGTTAAAAGCCAAGAGCTTCAGCGGGCTCAAATTAGAACCGTGAAAGGATTCTTCCTAAAGAAGAGTCAACATAGAATTTATCAGTATCAGAATACTGTCTGGTATTTCAGAATGAAACTGGGGTAATCAGATGACGGTTTAAATTTAGTGAGTGAACTTCAACTGAAGTTGACACACAGGATGCATGTGAGTAATCTCATATCCTCCTCTGCTATGGTGCTTATC